ACCCTTTAGAAAAATTGCCAAAAATCACATTTTCACTTGCGTTTTTCCGCTTGAAAAAGGCTGAATATTCGGGCTTGTTCGAGTTGCAATCATAACCGCAGTATTGCGCGAATCATTAAAGTATCACGTTCGTTGTGAATTTCTAACAACGTTTTATCAGTTGGGCACTTGCAGCGGTGATGTAAATTTTCATCACTGCTGCAGTATTCTCGCTTTTATTACATGCCTCGAACAAGCCCTTCACCTGCACGGGACATTTTACATAGGTACCCTTGCCAACAGAAAAGGGGAACAAATGCAGAATAGCTCCGATTCTCAAATAAAAAAATTGGGATCGATTTTTTTTTTTTGAGATTTCAATAAATTAGCTGTGGTGCAAAGACCACAATTGGGATCGATAGAAATGATTGAGCTGAGTATAACGGTATACTTTTCTTTGGCAGAAACAACAACTACAAAAGTTATTAAAGGTCAAATGAAGCAATAGGTGCAATCCCGTATTCCTCTGACTCGGACTAGAAAACTGTCAAGGAATAAAAATTCGGTGTTGTCAGTAGCGACGTGTTTGTTGTGATTTTGACAAGATCGGCATGCTTATTTTCAGTGCTGCCGATCTTAATTTTTATACTACTATTCGTTGGGAAATAGTATCTAAAATACTCCATTTTAGTATTTCGTTTTATCGCAATTTTTAAAGAACTTGGTGTTTTCAGAACAATATTAATATTTAAAATTGCTGGATTTGTATAATTTTTGTACTCAAAAAGTAGAAAAATAAAAGATATCGTGGTTATCAATGGAGAAAAACTTTCACAAAAATAGTATGGAAAGGCGATTTTTTATATTAAATAACTTTTGCTGCGTTGTCATAATATTGAGGCAAATGAACTACTGATACACTAGAATAGAGTGGTTGCATGGTTAAATTAGGAATTCGCTTATATTATCGATATTTATGTGTTTTAATCTATTTAGAATATCATTTACAGTCTAATGGGAAATTGCCTTATTTTACGGCTTTTACTTTTTTAAAGTTACAATATATGTCCAAACTGTATATTCAGGCTTATAAACCTGTAATTATACATTTTTCCACATTTAATTTGAAGTAGTATGCACCAACGGATTAAAAGTAGTAAATAATTAGTACCTTTTCTAGTACTTTAAAATGCGTGACCGGAATAAACCTGCCGAAAAAGTGAGGTTAAGTTACTGACAACACCTTGTTATTATTATACCATGATTAAAGGTCAAATGAAGCAACTGTCAAAAAATAAAAATTCGCTCAGAGCGAGAGAGTAACATTGAAAAGGACGGGATCGCTTTCTAGTAAAAAATTGTAGCTTTCGTCAACTTCAACATAACCTCCAAATTTTGGTTGTAAATTTTTGCTTATTTTGTATGTAAACACACTAAGCTCACACATGTAAATAACCAAAAATACTTTCAAATTCAATAGAATCCACCTAAACAAGTAATTAAATACTTTTCAACATGAATTAGCAGAGTGCACTTTTCGTTTGTTTACAATTTGGTTGCCAAACACACTACAGCTGATCGTTTGACACATTTACCAGAGTTTACCAGCAAAAAATTCTCGGACTAAAACTGGTAACTTCTGACGGAGAGATAACCGTATTTACTCTCTTTTTTGTCCTCTCAATAGACAGAGAACCGAGTACGGGATTAGACTAGGTTCACACAGAGAAACTTTTGTTGTACATTTTCGGCAATTTCTCTCTTGGTGTTGCCCTTCGCGTTCACACAGAGAAATTGTTTTGTATACAATTGTTGTTGTCATCTGTGAACGGCCACCTAGAATTACTCAGACGAACGAGAGGACAAAGCGTGTTGGCCAAGCAGTGGCAACTCGGTGCCCTTCCCCCTTCCTCGTCTCCCCCTCTCCCACAAGTAACGAGCTGCCGCGACAAAAGTTTCTCCGTCTGAACCTAGACTTAACACGCACTTATTGAACGAGAAAACGACTTTGAAAATACCACGGATAATCGATAATCCACTAACAGGCGTTTATCTACTACTAGTCGACACTCGCAATAGGGGTGAAAATTTCTTAAAAACAAATGCATGGATTAATACCCAATACTCAAAAATACTTCATCAATAATTAAATTTCATCAAAATACCAATGGCAAAGCATATAAATCAATCCCTAATTTTTTAAAGGACATTGAAATTAATTTATAATTTTATATGGCGTTTTAAGCTTTTTGCTGGCCAATTAATTCCTATAAATAATTAGGTACAAATGTATCTATGCCGATTTTTCAAGCCCGCCTGCAAGCTCAAGAGACCAATCAACAGCTTCACCGTTCCTGTAATCCTTTATTGATGTATTTTTAACCCATTTCTGAAATTTGAGTCAAATAAAGGGGACGGAATGGTATCTGGAAGTGTTTGCAAAAAAAATAGTATGATAGTGATCGGCATAGGTACATTTGTACCTAGGGGTAAACGCAAGGAAATTTTGTGAAAAACTATCGGTTTGCATGTCAAACTAAATACAAAATTAAAAAAAAAAACTTTGTATATTTATTTTATCTAATATATAAAAATCTCGTATCACGGATCCTACTTTCTGGGTTGCCGAAAAGAGGAGCCGAACTGCTTTATGGGTAGGCGGCTTTCGGCCGCGCTTAGGGATTGTAACCCTTATTACGCAGGATTCTCCTTTCTGTGTTGCCGGAAAAGAGGAGCTGACCTCCTTTCTGCGTAGGCTGTCTTCGGCCGTGCTTAGGGATTGTAACCCTCACAACGCAGAATTCTCCTTTCTGTATTGCCGGAAAAGAAGAGCAGAACCGCTTTCTGCGCAAGCGGCTTTCGGTCGCGCTTAGCAATTCTAACCCTTACACAGTAGACTTCTCCTTCTGTGTTGCCGGAGAAGCGAACAAAAGTCCCTCTTTCATAAAAGGTATATAACATTTCTTGTGCATATAACTCCGACACAGTATTTTGCACAGAAATCTTTTTTATTTAACTTACAGTGAAACTAAAAAAAGAAACAATAGTTGCGTTCCAGATGCTTCCCGATTTGCAGGTTTTTACAGGAAGCCGTTCCAGGTGACCACCTTCCATAAGGCATTAATAAGAAAACAGCTGTTCTTTCAAATACTGTAAAACCTGCAAATAGTGAATCATCTGGAACCGTTCCTTGGAGTGGAAAGCATTGTGCACTACCACCAGAAATAATGTTCATAAAAAAAACCCAGCTCCACTATCGCTATAGTAGTGGTAGTTAAAAGCATAGTGCACTCAAAGATTAGTGCACTACGCCCATGTCTGCCATGAGGCCATTTCTTATAGGCTAGTATATAAGGCCGACTGCACTGAAGAATTGTTCACTTGGAACGCTGGAGGGTGGAGTGCTCAAATATTTGCGGGCCAGATCTGTCAATTTGTCTTATTTTAGTTTAGTTTTCCACCAATCGAGAGGATTTTCACCGAGATGGATTCGTTTTTCTTTAAGATAGACCTACAATCGAACTTTATGGGGCGATTATGGATGACAGGTCAACCGCAGTTGGGTTGCCGATGGGCAACGCCACTGATATGAAAATGTATATTATGAATAGCAACTATAGTTAAGTTCTATACAGTTGATGGTATTAAAATTTTGAAGAACCAGCAACTAGGACTTGCAAATAAGCTGAAGAAACAGTTGAAAAAAGAAATAAATTATCTCAATCAAAATTTTCGGCGGCAAACAAAAAAAAAATGCAGTTGCCAATATAGCAACTCGGTTACCAGCTTTCAGTTGCCAGTTGCCATCTGTAATACCTAATGAGACCAACTATTTCTTAGCGCAAAGAAGTACAGCTTAGGTTGGGTTAAGTTAACGAAGCGAGCCGATTAGGGAATTTCGAATGCGGCTAATTTTGATCCCTGCGAGCTCAGT